CTGTGTGTTCCAATCAGAGGGCAGCAGAGCACTTCAGTTCTGCCTTGTGCGCAGTTTTCTGGGTGGGGAAAACCACAAAGGCTCACACACCTGCTTTTTCAAGCCAGGTAAGGAGCCCTGGCCGCTTTGACTCAGCGGTTAGAGCGTCGGCCCGCGGACCAATGAGTCATGGGTTCGATTCCGGTCAAGGGCACGTACCTCGGTTGCAATTCATCCCCAGCCTTGGTTGGGTCATGTGGGAGGCAGCCACTCAATGTGTCCCTTTCCCATCGATGTTCCTTTCTCTCTCTCTCTCTCTCTCTCTCTCTCCCTCCCTCCCACTCTATCTGAACAAAAATGGAAAAATGTCCTCGGGTGAGGATAAAAAAAAACAAAGCCAGCTAGGAAACAGAAGAGAATTCCTCTCAGGAAATCCTTATTCCTTAAGCCCCTAGTACGCAGAGCGGGTCTTCCCTGAACGGCATCAACTCTATTTTTGGTGCTGGAGTTCGGATTCCACTTCTTGTCCTCCAGTGGTTAAACATGGCCTTGGAGAATGGGGACTTGTTTGGTGTGACGGCAGGACAGAGGGACAGGTTGCCCGGGTTTCTCCTCTCATCTCTGTGAGCAGAACCCACAAAACATCTTAGCGAGCACGGCTTGGTGGTGTCTCTTTTTGCAAGGTCTCCTTGCCAAGGTTCTTGGGCTGCCCCATTTGGCACCTAGTTCATGTTTGGTACCCTGTGAATTTGCAGAAAGTGGCTTGAGTGGAATGTTCTCTGTGGGAAGGGGAAAGAAGAAAGAGTGGCCAAGAACCCTGTGGGTCTTTGCTCTCTTTGCACTCAGGAGTGGGGTCTCTCACGCACAGGGAGAAAACCAAAGGTACCTTCGTGCCCAAGTGGCCGAAACCCAACAGAACACCGCCGTCTTCCACCAGCATCCTGCCAGCTGCTCCGGGCCCAGGATTGAGAACAACCGAGTGAAAGGCAATTTCTTTCGGAAGGACTTTGCTTCCTGTCTGCATCGGTGACATTACCCCTGAAGAACGTCGCCCCAGATCTGTGAACATCGAGAACATGGACGGGAAGGCAGTCCTCCTATGGGATGTATTAAAACTCATAATGGGCCCTGGCCGGTTTGGCTTGGCTGTTAGAGCATCGGCCCTCAGACCAACGAGTCATGGGTTCGATTCTGGTCAAGGTCACGTACCTCGGTTGTGGTTCATCCCCGGCCCTGGTCGGGGTCGTGCAGAAGGCAACCAGTCCATGTGGCTCTATCACATCAATGTTTCTCTCTGTCTCTGTCGCTCTCCCTCCCTCCCACTCTATCTGATGATAAATAGAGAAGTATCCTGGGTGAGGAATAAAAAAAAAAAAACTTACAATGGTCAGGGATACTATCTAGCCCAACAGCCTCACTTCACCCAAGGGGACCTGGTTAAGGGCACAGGGACATTTAAGGCCTCTGTCTCCTTCACGCCTGACCCTCGAGGCCTCGCCCGGTGGCTCCCACTAGATGTTCCAAACAAGTCAGCTGAACTAAACTAGACCTGAGACTCGTCCTTCTCGGCGGTTTCCTCTGAACCAGTGTTTGCAAACTTGGCTGCAGGTGAGAATCTCCCGGACCGCTTCCGAAAACACGACGCCTGATCCCCCTCCAGGGCTCTGCTAGAGACCAGACAAGGGGGAGGCCTGGCGCTGAGGTTGTTCAAAGCTCCCAGGTGTCCACCGCGTAGCCGGGACACTGCTCGGTCACACGGGCTCACGGGGCAAGTGACCAGGACTGTACCTCTCCCGCCAGCATTTCCTGTCTCCGCAGATCTGGGCCTGAGGGTTCGGGTCGCGAGGAAAATGGAGAAAGCCCTTCAAGTCACCCTTGGGAGTAAGCTGTCCATCCCCCACCCGGAAAAGACACAGAAAAGGACAAGATTTGGAGATCAAGTTAAATGTCCAATTTATTTGTATAACTTGAAACCAGAACAAACTTGGCTTTGAACAAGCGTACAGGTGAAATGACAGACATGCGGAACTCAACATCGTGACGTCAAGGGAAAAAGAGGCCCAAACTCTTGTACAGAGAATAAAAGGAACAATAAATAGTTTACTAAGCCATATTGAAATGACCTCCTGTCATCTCAACATTTTATCCATAATTAAAAAAAAGTGCCCCATTTCTTAAACGGGGCACAAATACCAAGCAATAAATAGTTCAAACTCGTAGTAAAAGACAGAACCTCCAAGTAAACAACAAAAGCTCATACAATAAGTAATAGAAAAGGTAATAAAAATAGTTCGCCTTGCCAATACAAATGCAAACAACTGAAATCAAGGTAACTTTGCTTTGCAGGGCTGAGGTACAAAGAGCACCAAAATCTCGGGGTTCAACACAACCTTCGCCTGGCTGTCACTGGGGACCGGGACAGAAGGCTGATCTCCTTGACAAGTCACATTTGCATTACAGGTCAGCCTCCTCCTCTCCCCATGGAAGACCCTCTAATGGCAGGTGGCAGGTTCCAATTGGGGGCAACTCTGAACAAAGTTGTGGCAGTGTGGAAACCGGCCTGAGGTCGGCTGGGTGGCCCAGGCTGGGGCCTCTCCCAACGGGTCATCCGCCGCCGGGTTGGCTTTTTGAACACGAAAGAGAGGCAACACCCTTTTCTCTGCCGTTGGTGGACGGAGACACCAGCTTTGTGCTTTGGGATGGCTTAGTCCTGGCATTCTGGTGACTTGGGGTGAGCTGGTAAGAGCTGGCTATGTTTATAACTACAGGAGGATCACCCGGGAGGCTCGCCATGCCTTCACCGGGCAGCCCACGGGCCTGGGGTCAAGCAGGCAAGAACCGGAGGTCTCAGCTTCCCTCCCACTGTCCTCTCACTTTGCAAAGGTAAGGAGCAAGGAGGCAAGAGCATACTAAACAGAGAAGCTCCCAGAAGAAACACTTCTGCATTTGGTAAAGAATTGCCCCCAAGGATGCTTGGTTATACTTTCATAACCTGAAATAATGGTTTCTTACAGTTCCTGAAATAAAAAATGGCTTCCTGATATAGGTTTTTTTGTGGGTTTTTTTTTTTTTAATGTATTATTCCCTCATCCAAAAAAACTACCACTTTATAATCTTAAAGCTACTTGGCTTTATAAAAAAAAAAAGAGGAGGGAAGGGACAGAGAGGGAGAAAGAAAATAAATTAAATTGAAATGAAAACGATAAAGGACCCACAGAGGCTGGAGGATGACGGGGAACACGAGGGAGAGAGAGGTATGGAAGGCACCGATTCATCCCAGGCCCAGGCATCGGAAACGGACGGAATGTCGCTTTCGGACAGAAAAGCAGCAGAGCAGGAAAGACAGCAGGCCAACACTCTCCAAGCAACGAAAGGTCCTGGCTGCGATGGAGACCCCCTGGAATCCAGTTTGCTGGTCTCTACAGCAGATCACGTCACCTGTGCCTGGCTGCTAGGCCAGCTCCTTGCATTACACTGTGTTGTTTCCCGTTTGGTCAAGGACTAGAGAAAGCTCGGTTTGCATTTCTTTCTGCTCTTAAGGGCGGGAGAGGTGGTGGTGGTGGTGGTGACCGCCGGGGTGGGGACAGAAGAGAAGGAAGATACCCGCTCACTCTCTCTACAGCTGACATCTTCCAGATGGCCTCAGAGAAGGGGAGGACTCTGTGAAATGTTACCGACATCTTTACAAAAACTGATTTTTTCTCCACTCCACACAAATCAAGGCTTCCCATCCGGTCTGCTGTGGCGCACCAGGGGGCCCCGGTGCAAAGTGGGGCATTCAGAGGGAAGCCCACCCAGCACTGCCCAAAAACACGCACAACTCAAATGCTTGTGAACCAAAGCATTTCACTACTCCTTTTGTTTCCCTCAAAGGTTGTCAAACAACCCTTTTTCTCCTGTACAATAGGACTTAACATACAAATTTTTTTTTTTTTTGCAATATTTTATCCTGCCAAATTAAAAAAATATATTATGGCAGCCTGTTTGTTTTTGTGTTTTTTTTTTTCTTTTTATTTCCAAATTCACTAACAAAAAGGTACATTAAATCCCTTTAAAAGGACAAGCTTACAGTTAAAAAATTACAAGCTCCAGTAAAAATACAGCAAATGCCTTACATCATATGAACCAACCAATATATCCATTCCAGAGGGGCGTGGGAACAGAAAAATAAGTACAGGTCAGAAATGATTTTTTTTTTTCTGCAAAGCAATAACAATATTAAGCACTTTTTTTTCTACATACTTTTTCTACATGGTGTAGCAATCCCCTTTTAATCCCCAAATACAAGTTTCTATACATTTTTTCGAAATAAAAATTCAACACCCAAGGCAGAAAAAAATTTACTAAAACTCCGACTTTACAGTTACTGTGACAAGAACAAATTTATAGACCCACCATTTAAATTTTACTCCAACATTTTCAAGGAAAAGAAAAAAGTTTTTTTTGTTTTTTTTTTTTGTGTTTTTTGTTTTTTTCGTTTTGTAAAATGCCCAGGCATTCTCGATTATTACAAATACTGGTCCACTTTTACAGTAATCAAGAAATTTTAATATATATAATATATACTAAAACCCCGTCACCAAAAGAAAACAATATACACGCAGCCACTGTGGCATTTTTTAATAACCTATTAAGCAAACTTTGAAAAAAAAAAATGATCTCTCCAACACACATACACACAATTTCTTTACCCTTGTATGTATCCAATACTGTAAACGTATTTTTAAGACAGAGTGCACTAAATTTAACTTTAGGAAAAAAAAAAATTAGCCGTTGTTCCTGAATTGTTTGTTTTTTCATTCAACGATATCAACTTGTAACTTGTCACTTGAGTTTTAATTCAGCAGTAAATCACCTCCACTCCACATCTAAGCAGCGTTGTCCCTCAAACAAAAAGGGGCTGAGGATCATTCAGCTAATAATGGATGTCCAAGGTTGTGCTGGGTTTATTTCTTCATTTGATTGGGTCTTATGGCATTTTCATGTCCTCTATCTTCAACCAGGATTTTAAAAAATTTATCTAAAGTAAATGTGGCTTTGTTTGTGTCTAAAGAATGTACTTTTCTTGTTTTATTTTTTTTAAAAAGTCTTTTCATTTCAAAAAAAAAAAGTTTTGCATTTGTCTCAAGAGACTGAAATAGGAAGATCAGTTTTCAAGGCACTCACATCAAATCGAATGGCAGTAGAGAAACTGTCCAATAAATTATTATTTTATGTCGTTCTTTATAGTGCCAGTATTGTGAATGCCACGCTTAGCAACACTGACACTCAATCTCAGCCGTCCCTTACAGTTTAACCCACCTCTGGGCCAAAGACGAGGATATGCTGCAATTTCTTGTTTAGAAGCCATTGAATTTAAATGCAAACAAAAGCTTTAAAGTGCGGGTCAACAAAATCCAAACATCTAATCTCGACAGCACAAGTTTAGTACCTTCCAACCTAATGGGAATGCAAAAAAGAAAAAAAGAAAAGAAAAAATGGGAAGCAGCGCTGAGCATGTTCAGATGGAACTCTTCCCCTGCTTTTCCAGTAGAGGGAACAGAAATTCACAAGATTCTCCCCCTGTCCATATGCAATGTCATCAGTGTGCGTGAAATAACACTAACTTCCCTCTAGTCACCATCAGGGCACTTGTCTGCTTGAGAAATGACCAACAATGATCACGTGTAGCAACCTAGGACCTGGGATTTTTGTAGTGGGGGTGATAGAGAGAGAAGCTGTCAAGCCAGAAGCCGCCTGGTTTGAAACGTCACTAGTTTCTTCCTTTCCGTGTGGCTGCAGACCACCACCATCAACCCACAAAAGCACCCTCAGCCTGTTTTAGCCTGTTCTACAGCCAACAGCCAAGATGGCATCCCAGGGCACACCCACATTTCACCGAGGGGATAGTATCTGCTGGTAATGCAGAACGTTAGCATCCTCTGGGGCCATGTCCCCTCCCGCAGCCCTCAAAAACTCCTGTTTCTCTGGCAGTGCTGAGTTTTCCCGGACCTCTCCCCCACCACTCCCAGTTCACCTCAAGTAATGAATGGAGAGGTTGAAATCAACACAGAAAAGGCCTCTGTTACTCAGGACATCATCAGTGCTACATCTCCACTCCAATTAGGAAACAAAGTGCTACAACTTTAAAGATTGTTATCCGCTGTACACCCCCCAAAAAAAAACCCCCAAAAAACAAAATTAAAAAAAAAAACAAAAAACCAAAACGCATGCCACTTTTTATTTCAGGACAAAAAAAGGAATTAAAAAAAGTAAACAACTTTAAAAGTCATTTAAGGGTTGGCTTCTTCACAAGAAATTACACATGCTTAGCTTAAATTTCAAAAAAGCAGCGCCCTCCCTCCCAAATTATAATTTAAAAGATATGCTTCCCCTCTACGTTACTGCAGGTCATTGCTCAGGCTACTACTGGGTTTTTTTAAAAAAAATATATATGAAGAAGGGATGGATACCCAACAAAATCTTTTAAAGGAATTTAAACAGAAAGAATAATAATAAAAAGTACCTGCACATGCCAAAAAAATTACAAAACCCAATAAATACAGAAATTATTGCACAGTTAAAAGGCTCCACAATTTTGACTGCCTTAACAACCCTCGGGTTTCCATAGGACTTCGCAGACACAGGTTAGATTGGAGGGCCGCCTTCCCCGGGCCCCAGGGACACGCGGAGAGCTCGATGGCGGTGACACGGAGGCAAGTGTCAGGTCAGCATTCTTGGCAATGGTTCCACTGTACAGGTGCGGGTGCCCAGCCCGCGCGCTTAGCTCCTCTCGGCCTGCTCGATTTTGACGTCGTTAGTCAGCAAGTGCTCGCCGTGCCACTTTTTCATGTGTTTCTCCAGGGTGCTGTAGACGCTGAAGGGCATTTGGCAGATGTCGCAGCGGTACACCTCCTTGCCGATCTGCCCGTGCGTCTTCATGTGGCGCGTGAGCTTGCTGCTCTGCGCGCACGCGTAGTTGCACAGCTCGCACTTGTAAGGCCGCTCGCCGGTGTGGCTCCGCCGGTGTACCGTCAGATTGCTGCAGTTCTTGAACACCTTGCCGCAGTACTCGCACGTGTCGCTGCGGCGGCCCTCCTTGGAGCTCGGCCGCCCTGGGCCGGGGCCACCCAGGTGCGGCGTGCTGCCGCCGCTGGCGGTGCCGCTGCGACCCGACAGGCCGCCGTCCAGCAGGTCCCCGGGCGGCGTGGAGAAGCGCAGGCTGCCGTTCTCGGACGAGTGCTCCGACGACGTGGCGAAGGGCGACTGGCGCGCGTCCGTGAAGCCCAGGAAGGGGTCCTTCATGAAGTGCCGCGACGCCGCGTAGCCCACCAGCCACTGCGAGTACACGTTCTCCGACGGGATGAGCGCGGCGGGCGGCAGCTCCAGGTCCTTCTCCACCTTGATGCGCTTGGCCGCGCTGTTGAGCCCGGGGCTGGGCAGCGGCGCCGGCTTGCGCGGGAAGAGGCCCGGGAAGGGCTCGGCGCCCGGCGCGAAGCCACCTCCGCGCCCGTTGACCGCGCCCGGGCCGGCATCGCCGCAGCCGCCCGCGTCATCGTCGTCACCCGTGTCACCACCGCCCGCTGCGCGCTTCAGGAAGGCTCCACGCTTCTGCTTTTCGGCCAGCAGGTCGCTGTACTGCGGCAGCGCGCCCAGGCCCACGTTCTCCATGACCTTGCCCAGCACCAGTGCCTTCTCGTCGGCCAGCGCCTTGGCCGCGCCGCCCACGCCGCCCGCACCCGGCACCCCGGCCACCCCACCGCCGCCGTTCTCCCGGTTGCGGCTCAGCTCCGAGTCCATGCTGAAGCTCGAGTCTGGCCGGCTTTCGTTCTCCAGCAGCAGCTCCTCCTCCTCTTCCTCCTCCTCCTCGTCCTCCTCCTCGGGCTCGTGGCCCAGCGACGGGTCGCTCTCGTGGTGGCGGAAGTCGCCACCCGCTTTGAGGCCCTCGCCGGCCAGCTCGCTGGTGCCGGGCTCCGGGGAGCTGGCGGCGGAGAGGCCGTCGTCGGAGCGGCCGGTCAGCGAGCCGGCCTTGTGCATGTGTGTCTTCATGTGGCGCTTGAGCTTGCTGGCCTGCGAGCACGCGTGGTCGCACAACTGGCACTTGTAGGGCTTCTCGCCCGTGTGGCTGCGCCGGTGCACGATGAGATTGCTCTGGAACTTGAAGGTCTTGCCGCAGAACTCGCACGACTTGCTCTTGGTGGGCGGCTGCGGCGGGGGCGTGCTGCCTGGGGGCATGGGCGGCAGCGGCGGCGTGCTCAGGAACGGGGACTTGGGGCTGGGCTGGAAGGGGTTCAGGAGCCGGTGCATAGGGTTACTGCGGCCTGGCGACACGGGAGGCGGCGTGGAGCTGTTGCCCGCCAGCTCACGGAGCCGCCGCGAAAAGTCCATGGCGGGAGAGTCGATGGCTATGGGATTCAGGCGCATGACTCGGTCAAAGGCACTGGGGTGCTGGGCGACAAGCCCCATCTCCTCGGCACTGAGGCGGTGCGGGTCCAGGTGGTGGCGTGGCGGCGGACTGAAGAGCGGCGGCGTGCCAGGCAGGCGGCCCTCGCCGAAGCCCGGGTGGTCCCGCAGGATGGGGCCCGTCATGCGCAGCAGGTTGAAGGGGTTGCTGTCACCCAGGAAATTCATGAGCGGGGACTGGGCCACGGCCTCGGGCCCCAGCGGCGGCGGGATGGTGAGCCGCGGCGTGAGGGAGCTGCTGGCGGGCCCGGGCTCCAGGTAGATGCGGAAGCCGTGCGTGTTCTGCGCGTGCTGCAGCAGGAACCACGCGCTGTTGAAGGGCTGCTTGCATGTTGTGCAAATGTAGCTGGAAGGCTCATCTTTACCTGGGGAGACACACGGACAGAAAGGCAGAGAAGAGAGCGTGAGAAGCGGCACAGGGCGTGCCTACCGCGGGGCCACTGACCTGGAGGCGCATCCCTGAAAGGCCCATGCAAGAAGTGTGGCACACCCTCGGGCCAGGCCCTGTGTCTCTGGCCGGCTGGGGGCAGAAGCAGCCGGCTGTGGCGGCCCTGGCAAAACCCAGGCGGGCTGCCGGACCCCTGTTAATCCAATTCTGTAGGCCTCAGTTCTCACCCCTAAAGAAAAGGTATCCTTAGTCCCAACAGCTCAGAAACCAGGTGAGATGTGTTTGTGAGAATGTCGGATTCCAATAACAGGAATGGTATCAAGCTTGGATTGCATACGAGAGCCGCTCCCCACCCCTTTGAGAATCACCATGAGACAGTATTTGCCCCAAGGAAGTTCTAGCAATGCAAGTCAAGCTGAATCACCTTGCAAACACTTGTTAAGAGAAATGGCTGCATCATTTAGGATTTTAGCTACAGGACATTCTAGGGTTTCACATATCAGCATCCATGCAGAAAACACTGTCAACATTCCAACATGGATGTGTACAAACAGGAATTTGGCGTGTTATGAAGATCACTGCTGTGTGACAGCTGCCCCATCACGGCCTCACGCACACTCGCTGACCACTGTGTGGGATCCGGCCTCCACAGACTCCCCAGGAAGGGGAGGGGTGGGGGCCACTGGCCTGCATGAACCCCTTTGCCAGAATGTTAACTGAGTGAAAGGACGTCAAGTCCACCGGAGCAGTCAGGATCAATGGCGGCAAGCATGGATTTGTTACTAACTGGCTCCGGTGACATTGGGTGCAACCCATGGAGACACTGATGGCACTGAGCCAAAATGTCAAGGTCTGGTCTGTCACGGGGGCAGTCACAAAATGGAGGCTGAACGTTTCAGCCAGAACCCGTCTTGCGGCTGCCCTCTTCCACCTGCGGGTGAAGCTGCTTTTCCTCGTGCTGTACATACACGGGACGGGTGCGGGCAGGCCCTGCCCTCCACCATCAGACGAGCTGGTTGGCCAGGAAGGAAGAGGGAACAAGACATCACAGCCGCAGTCGGGAAGAACCCTTTTGTGTTCTCAAACTCCCTGTACCCGGAAGACCTTAACACGGATAAAGCACGGGAGCCACAAACTTCCCGGGGACCATAACCAGTATCAGTACGGATTCGAGGTATAGCCAGTCCCCCATCGCAGCCTCTCCCTGATCCGCTGAAGGACTTCTGAAATCCCGTACAGAGATTTTTTATTTTTTATTTTCCACCTATGAATTATATTTCTGGAGGGTTGCACCCTTAGCAGTAAAAACCAAATGATTCGGGGCCCAACGCCGTAAATTCCGCGAGGCTGGGGCCTCCCGAGCCCAGCAGTGTGTGCGATGTCACAGAAAAGCACGCCATCCAGGGGGCAGGGTGTCGGTTCTGCCAGACCACAGAACCAACGGGCCACAACACCCACGTCCAGAAACCCAGGCACGCTTTACTGGTTTGGTGCCCCATGGGGCTCAATTCCCTCTTGTCTCTTCTGCCGTATCTGCGTGTTTGGTGAGGAGACGACTGGATAGGGCAGACAAACAGAAAAAGAACTCTGAAGTTCGGCTTCACCTGGCTTTTATAAACTGCTCAAGGAGAACTTCCGAGTGAGATGGTTTTCTTTCTCCAGGGTGTCTGGGTAATTTCCTTCTCCCAGTGCGCTGGGTGATTCAGTTCCTCACGCTGGGGCCCAAGGGGGATTTTCCCCACCTGGAAAGCAGCAAGGGGGGCCTCCCAGGGCCTCCCTAGCACCCAGCCCTCCCTTCCTGCATGCCACTCAGCCAGCAGAGAAAGTGCTGCTTCCTCGGGGTACCACTCCCGTCCTCGGCTTAGTAGTTAATGTACGTGGGAAACAGAACTCGACTCTGTCAGTCTCACGAGAGAGCTGGCCAGGAGCCATACTCATGGATCCTCCTCAAACCCTCTTCTGGAGCAAGGCAGAATAAATAAGTAATAAATAAGAAGCAGATACATAAAAGTCCCTTTCTGACACAGGAGCTAGTAACACAAATGAAGTGCCACTTCCCACAAGGCCATAGATCTTCCCCTGAAAGAACGCTTCCGTCCGTCACCCGGGTTCAGCCAGGCTGGCTCCCCGGGTCCGGGCACAGCCGCTCTGGCCTGTGTTTTTCAGTCGAACCCCCTCCCCCCGCCACCTGTCTCCTTTTTCATCATCTTCATTTCCTTGAGTATCTCCAGAGCACTTCCTGTTTCTCCTACTGATGGCCATGCATTTTCTAGACGGTTCTATCGCCGGGGAGGAATGTGGCTAGCAACAGCAACTTCAGAACCCCCGGCGGGCCGGGAAGAAAGGCTGCTCGCCGTCGAAATGGCCGGTTAAAACATTTTTTAAAGATAAACTCAAAATGGCAGCTGCTGGGAAACGTGTAGCGACATGTTCCAAGCAGCTCAGATGTTTCCACTTCTGGTTTAAGAATAAGAGGGGCAGACACTGGTAAATCTGTCGCTGGGAGCGGCCTAGGGAGGGAGTTCCTGCCCGCAATTCGCCATCAGGAGTAACCCTCCAATCGGGTTGCTGGGCCACTGGTCATGCCGGGCTGAGCTCTCTTCCTGCACCCCGAAATCGCTCTGGTTCCTGGACTCCCCTCCTCCAGACGGCAACGGTTGCTGTAGGCAAGGCCTTCCCAGGATCTGCCAGCTTCCGAGTCTTTAAAACGCTTGCAGCCCTCCCGGCCCTCCCTAGACAAGACCCCCCCTTCTTTTTTTAATGAAATGTTCATTTCCCTATTATCACTTGCCTTGAAGTCGCCTTGAGCACTGGAGCTGCTCACTTTTAAGAACCAAACCATGTCAGGAAGTCTTTGAGAGCCACTCGGAACATTTTTCTATTCCGAAACTTGCTAAATATTTTACACCCGCGGCGCGCGGTCATGGCCGGCTCGTCTGTAAATGCCGCGGAAGACCCTCCACTTCCCGGGACCCGAGGTGTCCCCGCGGTCACGCCGTCCTGAGCTCAGGCCACCTGCCCAGAGGTCAGCTGGAGGCTCCACGAGGTGAGGACTTCACCGGTGGCCCGGGCAGGACCCATCCCACCAGGCCGCTGAGGTTCCACACTGCTGGGTTGATGCTGAGGTTATTTTGAAGCGACGTACCCGGCAACATGAAACTTGGCCTACAGACCTAAAAATGTCAGCTGCATCTGAGTGCTAAATCAGGCTTGACGACAGAGCCGACGGCCCGCCTCCTTCCTCGGCTGCTTCCTCCCTCCCTCCTTCCTCAGACATTTTTAAGATCCACCACGGATCTTCTCTGCTCCGCTGGCTCTATAGGGAGCCTCTGGTGTTTTTCTCAAGTTCAAAGCCCTCCCCGTAACCTCCGGGATGAGACAGCAGCATGGGTTCACACCTCTGCCTCCATCTTCCGAGCAGCGTGAAGTCAAGCAAGTCCTTAAGCTCTCTGAGCCTCGATTTCCTCATTGGAAGAATGGGAACGATACACCTGGGGGGACCAAGTACAACCCTGTACGTGGACACACCCTATAAAAGTGCACGCCGCCAGGAAGACGCCTTGGTTTGGGCTTTGCATAATTCCATCTTCTGTCGTCCATCTCGGACCTCGCACTGGGTGATTCAAGGGTGCCTTTCTGCGTAATGGAACCCTGGAGGAATTCTAACGCAGCCCACCTCATACACTAGGTTCCAGGGAAGCAGAAACTTGCAAATGGAGAGGAAACATCATTTTTTATTGGGACGCTTGGAAACGAACACGCAACTGGACTCCTCCAATGAAAGCTCCTCTCCCTCTGCTAAGTTTTCTTTAAATGAGCATTTACATAATTTCCTCCTCGTTTTGCTGGTGACGCTAATAATGCCAGTAAAGTTATCAGGAATGTTCGCTAACAAACACACCTTTACTCGAGCTGTTATTCAGTGAAGAGCCCTCACTGAGCACGAGTCTCGCCGGTCTCCTGAGCTGCAAGGTCCTGGGGGAAGGGCGCCCCGCCTGCAGGAGACAGGGGTTCCTTGCTGCTCAAAGGGAGCAAGGAGACACCACCTCCCAGCTCAGGCAGGGCCTGGGTCATATGCAGATGCTGTCCTCCAAAAGCTGGAGGCAAAAATGAGAATCCCTCCGGGGGGATGTAAGCAATGGCTCCTGGCCCCCTCCAGCGTGCACAGCACTTTACAGTTGGCTTGGCACTCGGGCAAGCACTGGCCATTCCCTGCTGCTCGCACGGGCTCGGGAGGCCAGGCAAGGACTGTGTTCCTGCTGGCACGGGATGAAGCTAGAGCAGCGGAGGCCCCCAGCCAGCAGGGGCAGGTCCTCGCCCCTCCTCGGGCTTCATCTGCCTCCCGGCACACAGCCCCACCCAGGGACGGATCACTCCCTTTACACTTGTCAGGGCCTGTTTTGCAATGACAACAGCCGAGAGAGATTCTCCTGCTGCACTGTGTGAAGGGCACCGACTGTCCTTTGATGGGACCCAGTCTGGTCCCCCACAGGCCTGGCCCCTGGAGGGGAGACCTTTCATAGCATGAGTGAGCCGCAGGGGACAACATGCCACTCCGCACCTGGGGAGGGGCCATGAGATGCCAAGCAGCCAGGTCAGGAGCAGGAAGCTGGATCCCGGGGTCCCCTTTGGCAGGCCCATCCCCTCTCTGGAATTCAGGGTGCCCAGTGCCCAAAGAAAGGGCCAGATTCTCTGACCCACCACCCAGTCCTGAGAATCTATGACAGCTAACATCACTTGTCTCCACAGCTCCAAAATGATCATTATCATCACTCTTCTCCCTTAGATGTGTAGACCTCTTCTTAGAAAGCTTAAAAACTGCCCAGCCGATGTGGCCCAGTGGTTGAGCGTCGACTCCATGCACCAAGAGGCCACGGGTTCGATTCCCAGCAAGGCACCATTTCACAGATGAGCATTGAGGATCAGAGAAGAATGGTTCACCGGAGGCTACGCCGCTGGCTATGCTTCTGAGCATTA